ACAAAGGGATCATTCCAAGATTCACATCTGATTGTGTGAAGTCTTTCCATGGCTCCCCGAGCTTCATAGATCAGACTCTGAGCACCTTAGTAGAACATTCAAGATTCTTTACTGACTCCTGCTCACTTCCCTATCACACTGAGAATGAGCAGTTCCCTAAAACAAGACTGCTGTTCATTCATTCATTCATTCATTCATTCATTCATTCATTCATTCATTCATTTCTTACTCTGCCCCCTCCTTCTTTCTGCAAGCTTGTCTGTCCAGAATGCCCTTGTCTCCCATCCCACTCACTCTGCCTGGATAGTTTCTACTCACACTTCCTGCCTTAGCTCAGGCTCCCCTCCCCTGAGAAGCCATCTCTCTGTCCCATCAGGATTGGTGGCCATTTCCTCCTCTGTGGCCCTGGAGCACTCTGCGCTTTCCTCCATCGTGGCACAATCCACTTACTTGTCTGTCTTCCCCACTGGACCGAAAGTAACTTGACTCATCTCTGGGTTCCCAGCTACCAGCACAGGGACAACACATATGTCAATAAGTAAGTGCTAAGTGTATGCTGCAGTGAATGATGCTGTGTGCAGTACCAAGCACAGTGCCTGGCCCTCACTGCTTACTCAGTAGCTGGCAGCCATGCTGATCACTGCACTAGTACCCTGCTATCACCAGGGCCTGGGCGCTGATTGGGTCCACCACGTCCATTTCTCAAATAGGCTGAGGGACCTACATCTTCATGGCTGACCGCCTTACCACCTGCTGACAGATAAATAACCAGCTCTGCCACTTGTGGACAATTTAGAGTTTCCATTGCCATGACAACCAAGTTGCAAGGGCTGCTCAATTCTTTGCTCTCAGACTGTTAGGTTTGGATGGGGCTCAAGGGATCACCCCTCAGGTAACTCCCTCCCAGAGAAGCGAAAGGCTCTCCCAAGACTGCACAGCAGCCCAGACCCAGAGCTCTCACTTTGGTGCCCCCTGACTGTCAGAGGGCCCCAGAGAGAGATCCTATCCAGCTCCAGGTCGGGCCTGATGCAGGAAGCTGTCAAGACCCACTGTGCTTCTAGGTGGTGAGTAAGGGAGGGCAAGACACTGCAAGGTCTGGGAGGGAAGAGGAGAAGCCAGCACCCAGCACAGCTGGAGCTTAGAGTCCAGGGATGGGGGAGGGATGAAGGGGGATGAGACTGGACCAGGATCCTTGTGCAGGGCACCGTGAGAGCAGTACAAAGAGTTTGCAGTGCTTCTCAAACTGGGGTGTGTGCATCCCGGGGCATGAGGATGTGTCCAGAGGGTATGAAAAGCACAGATGTACTGGGTCCTTCCTTCTGGAGTTGCATCTTATTGGAAGATTCAGGGATTGGGAGAAAGAAAGGTACTGGATTTGGGGAATTGTAACAGTTTTTATGCACACATGCCTGCTCTCACAACAGTTCCACAATCACACTTTTCAATGCTGTACAACCTGTATCTCTTTTCAATGTTGTATAACCTGTATAATGTCCAGAGAATGGAAAGAGAAAATTGGGGCTAGCAGTGGCCCCTGCTCTGGCTGCACCCCCACCTCCCTGTGAGGGGTATGAGCACACTCTCCTGTGCCGAAAGGGCCTGGGGCATTTTTATGAGTACTGGGGGTTGAGGATGGAGAGCCTAGAACAGCCCTGAAGATGAGGGTCATAGAACAGAGCTGTGATTCTACAGAGAATGGGGAATGTGGCAGAGGGCAGAGTCTGGAAAATCCCGCACCCTTCTGTGAACTAGGCCCTGCAGGGGGTTTCCTGGAGTGAAAGTAGAGGACCTGAAGTCAGACAGATGATAACTTCTTTCCAGATGGCTAGGTCTAGGGTTGTTGACCGTACAAAGAGACCTATGTTCACACCCTCAAGAGGCCAGTCCCACAGAGAAGGGGCACAATAGAAGGAAACAGCCACGAGGATGGGGGTGAGGTGGCAGGGACGGGTGCTCAGCCCAGACTCCCCACAACAGCAACAGGACGCGGGAGGCAGAAGACCC